TCGATTTTTAAAAATCTGGAAAATTACTTTTGCCGTTTGTACCGTAAAAATTGACCCAATTAACCTAAATTTATAGAAAAGTCATTTTGGCGTTAAACCTCCAATAGAAGGGCTCCTAACAGTCAATTTTGACCTAATTTACCTCGGCTCTTGTAAAAGATATCAAAAAGTGGTCAACTGATAAAATGTTTATCATACTATCAAAAATTTTTTATTAGTTGATTTTTTTTGATAACTCTTACAGTAACCCAGATAAATCAAATTAAAGTTCACAGGTTCTTCTAATACAGTAAAAATGATTTTAACCACTCAACTGATAATGAAAAAATTCAAAATCTTTCTAAAATAATGAAACCTTAAAGTCCAATTACTGAGGAGGGTTACATGCATTGTTTTGATTTCAGAAATTTTCCGAAAATAAAAAAAATTAAGAAAATCTCAATTTTCATGTTTTTCCCTAGAATTCTCAAATTCATGAATTCCGAGAAATTCTGGGATTCAAAAAAAAGCAAAATCAAAAATTCCTAATATCCGAGAAGTTCAAAATTTTCTAAAAATATGAATCTAGGACTTTTAAAAGTTAAAATTGGACATCTGGGCAAACAGACACAAAAACATTAAACTGATAACGGAAACCAAAAAACAGTTTTAAAATTTTTTTTTAAAAATCTGGGAAATTTTCTAACTGTCAGTTTTAGGAAAATAATTTTTCAGAAGCATTTTTTAAGTTTTTGAAACCGTAATTTCAGGAAGTGTAACTGTGAAATTCAACATTTTTTAAACGATATTCCCAGAAATTAAAGTCTAATTTTGAAAACTTTCAAACTAAATAATCCGAGAAATTCAGAATTTCCAAAAAAAATGACAAAATCGGAAATTTCGAAAGGTTTAGAAACTCATAGATTGGAAAATTTTGAATTTATTATTTTCTAAATATATTTTTTTTCGTAATTTCAGTCCCCCCAAAAACACCATTGTTTCATCCTACACAGTGGCAATTTGGGAATCTTATGCCTACCCTCTTCTAGACTAAAACTTATCCAGACAAGAACCCCTAACACGAATCGACAGCTAAAATCCTCCGATAAATTTGCTCTACTAAAAACTGACAGAAAAAGAGTCCCATAAATTCCAATGAACCCCCATTTAATAATGCTAATCAACTGGTGCACACATCGAAACAAGATACGAGAGATTAGAGAAGAGAGAAGAGACGCAGAGAAGCTAGAAAAAATAGTAGACAGTCCGTTTTGTGATGACTCTCAAGTAGGGCTCTGTTTGAGGGGGTGGATAGGGGGATATAGAGTTCAGGAGAGAGAGTGAGAGGTTTAGAGAAATAGACTGTTGCGAAAATGAGAGAATCGGATTAGAAGAAAAATCTGGAAAAAAAAACGATTCTAGAAGGAATATGAAACATGGTGTCAGGTGTAGTAGACACAAATTAATCTCCGGAAGAAGTGGGCGGGCCACAGATAGGGGGCGGAGCCAGAGAAGAAAAAAATGCGCTCTTTTGATAAAAGTGTATTAGCAAAAGAAAAAAAACTAAAAACTTCAAAGATGAAACGTCAGAGAATGAGCCAAAGATGAAGCGTTCCCCAGGGGAATGCTCTCAAAAAAGAAACACTTTCTTTTCGGAAAAAAAGTAAAAATTTTTGAAATTTTTTAATTTATACATGAGATTCTGGATATCGGACATCTGGAAAAACAGACAAAACTGAATATTCTCGAAAGATCTAAAAATCAAAAGTTGTGAAATTCTTTGAATTTATAATTTTAAGAAAAATTCAAAAAAATGTTTTTGAGATTTTTAGAAAATTTGAGAAATTCAACATTTTGAATATTTTGCATTAAGTTCCAAAAAATTCTGAAAATCCAAGAAATTTCAGAAAATTCCAAAAATAACGAATTTTCAAAATATTTTGGAATTTCCAAAAAAAAAGAAAATTCAACAAAATACAGATAATTCAAATTTTTTTGAAAATTACAAATAAATTTCAAAATTTCCAGAATATTCAGAAAATCCAACAAATGTTCAGAAAGTTCAAAAAATCAAAAATTCATGAAAATTCCAAAATTTTCGGTAATTCCAAAAAATTCAAGAAAATTCAGAAAATCCAAAAAATTCTCAGTAAATTCTCAAAACTCTCAAAATCAGAGATGAAATTCAGAAATTTCGGAAAATTAAACTAATTTCTGAAAAGCACAAACATTCCAAAAAATCCAAAAATTTTCAGAAAATACAACAATCTTTAGAAAATCCGAAAAAATTCAGACAATTTCAGAAAAACTCAAAAATAATACAGATAACATAAATTCCAATAATTCCAGAAAATCCAAAAAATTCTCAAAGAATTTCAAAAATTTCAGAAAATCCGAAAATTCATAAATTTGGAAAGTCTTCGAAAGTTTGTAGTGCAATTTTTTGGTTGGAGAAACTGAAAATGTTTAATTTTACAGATTTCAAAATTTTGAATTGAACTTTAAAATTCTCTGAGTAAAAAAATATTGGTTTCTTAAACTTTTTTTTTCATAAAATCCGGAAAGAGTTTCAAAAATCTAGTAAAAATTGTGAGTATACAAAAAATATTATGGACCAAAGATTCAAGAAAAAAATGTGGAAAAATGTGAATATCTCTGCGTTCCATGGTCATAACCCAAAAGTAAACTTTGAGCAGCTAACGAGAGAGAAAATGAGAAAAAATAAGAGAGAAAAATCTATTTTTTCTTCTTAGAGGAAAACAAATCCCATTGCATTTTTTCGTCCGCCCCACCCAAACATTATGAAGCATCTCATCATTTCTTCTGCATCTTTTTTTCTACTAGAGGTCCTTGCAGAAAAAGAAAACTTATGAGAAATACTCCTATAACGATTTTCAGATTCTTATTATTGTTTTCTATGAAAAAAGAAATATGAAGAAAAAAATAGGTTTTCAAAAAAAAGCATCAAGAAAGGGGACATTTTCCAAAATAGAGGAAAGAAAAAAATAAAGACATACACAAACAGGCACGCAAGAAGATGTGAAAAACGACACCTTTTTTATGGGGGGAAGAAAGTGATGTGGGATAGGGTATGTATGTTCAGTGGAGCGCAATTGATTAAATCTGGTGAATTTTTGGGAAAGGGCAGATGGGTAGGAGGGATTGGGTTTCAAAAATGTTCAATTTTTAAAAATAGATCCCAAAACTACAGTAATCCTCATTTTTCCACATTAAAAAATGAATCCGGAAAATACAGTAATCCTTCTTTTTTCAATCCGGAGAAATGAATCTGAAAACTACAGTAATCCTCATTTTCCAATTTTGGAAAATTAATCCAAAACTACAGTAATCCTCATTATTTCTATTTTAAAATTTGAATCTGAAAACTAAAGTAATCCATATTTTTCAATTTTGGAAAATAAATCGAAAACTACAGTACTCCTTATTTTTTCAGTTTTAAAGAATGAAGCCGAAAACAACAGTAATCCTCATTTTTCCAGTGCTGAAAATGAATCTGAAAAATACAGTAACCCACACATTTCATTTTTCAAAAATTAATCTGAAAACTACCGTAACCCTCTTTTTTTCAATTTTGAAAATGAATCTGAAAACTACAGTAATCCTCATTATTTTCAATTTTGGGAATGAATTCAGACACTTTTCTGGAACTTAATCTAGTCCTAAACTTTTTTGGAATCAAAACTCAAATTTGATTTTAAAAAAGACAAAAAGACGCGGAAAACACTTCTGGTACTGATTGAACAGACACATTATGGACATATTATCTGATGATTGGATTTTTAATGAGTCTAGACCTCTCTAAAGGGTTTTAGAGTAACATATTGTTTTAAAAAATGCTTTACGAGAATTTGGAAACTTGTGAGAGCAACAAAGCAAAAAATAATTAATTTCTAAAGAACAAGGGAAAAAATGATGTGTTGCCTGTTGGGAAAATGTCGAATTCATAAAAATCACCTGTCATGAACTACTTGGCTTGGAAGGGGCTTGTCTACAGTTGAAAATGCGGTCTAGTGCATATAGGATGAAATGAGATTACAGTAAGAAACTGAACTAGACAATTTTTATTAGCGACTTCTAACAAGGGAACCACAACAACTCGCCAATTCAGATTATGATGAAAGTTGTAGGATAGGTAAAGGATAGCCTATCTAGACACCCCCGGGAAGTTTTGGAACGCACTCGCCAGTTTCAGCTCTCACAAAATTTCAAAATCCCCTTCTATCAATATAGCGATTTTTCAAACAAAAAGTTTCCTTGAAAACCTTTAAAAAAATTATGTGTTACCTCTAGACACATTAAAATTCCAATCACCAGATAATGTGTCCATAATGTATCTGTTCAATCAGTACCAAAAGTGTTTTCCGTGTCTTTTTTGAAATGTAGTTTTTTTTTGTTTCAAAAAATGTTTACGACTAGATTAAGTTCCAGAAAAGTGTCTGAATTCATCCCTAAAATTGAAAAAAAAAATTACTGTAGTTTTTTCTGTTCATTTTTCAAAGTTGAAGAAAGTGGATTACTGTAGTTTTCAGATTCATTTTTCAATATTGAAAAAATGATTACTGTAGTTTTGGATTCATTTTTCAAGAAAAATGAGGATTACTGTAGTTGTCGAATAAAAAGTTCAAAATTGAAAACAATGAGAATTACTGTAATTTTTAACATTGAGAAAAACGAGGATTACTGTAGCTTTCAATTAAAACTTTCAAAATTGATGAAATGAAGATTACTGTAGTTTTCGGATGCATGTTTCAAACGCACGCCATCTGATGTGGAGGTGAACGGAATTCCCAGAAGGGAAGAAATTCGAAATTTCTCGATTATCGCAATCTGAGAAAAATCAAAAGATTCAGATCAAAATAAGTATCGGAATATATCGTATGTTCCTTTAAATTTTTTATGACGAATAATAATTTTCAAATCTAAAAATCTACAAAAAAAGAACGAACAAAATCAACAATCAGAAACGAAACAAAAGCTATTACGAATTCTAAAAGAAGAGCTTAAGAATACAATTTATCAGATCGTTGGCTACTGTAATACTCGCGATGTACTTCATTTTTCGGTGCGAACACTTTCCGATCAGCCAATGAAACGACGCATCCAGATGGAATTCCGTGGAACACTTGATCGATCGATTTCAATGCAGAAGTGATTTTCAGCGTCTCCGTCAGCTCGTATCCTCTAACATCAGCACTCAATTGACGTTCCTTCTCAATTTCCGTCTCCTCACACAAATATCCACGATTCTTCGCGTCCATATAATATTCGATAAGACTAGCTGGCGGCGTCTTCCTTCTCGGAACCACGCGTCCTTTTTCAAACCACGCCTTCGGATTCACCGCCGCTTCAAGACTCTCCACATCGTAATACGCGGTTCGCACCCGGCCGCCAGCCTTCTCAACTGCAGCGATCGCCGATTGTGTCGCATACTGTACTTCGATATCGATGGGATAGGGAAACGAGTCGGCGCCCTCCTCGGTTAAGTCGAATCCGTATTGTCGGATTTTCGGGTTGATTTGAAATTTCTGAGTGGCACATAGCGTGGAGACGTCGATTGGAAGACGTGGATTGATCCAGCCAAGATCGATGAGACGAGCCAATTCGACGAGCGATAGGGGAATGTATTCGCGACGGGTGCTGAAAACGTTTGATTTATTATTCTAACTTTCTTGTGACCTAGTTTTTTATTTCCAGGTCATGGCCTAATTTTCAAATTTTTTTTCAATTTTTTTCCTAGCTTTTGAAATTAGGTCATGACCTAAATGTTAAGTTATTAGGACATGACCTGGAGTTGGATTTTAGGTCACAATTTAGATTTCGAAATTAGGTCATGACCTTGATTTCAAAAATTGGGTCATGACCTAGATTTTAATTTTTAGGTCATGACTTAGATTTCGTTTTTTAGAGAAACTTGAATTTTCAACGGCATAAAACTTTGTCACATTTTATCCGTAAAGTTCCAGAAAACCGTACTTAATATCCGCATTGAACAGCTTCTCCCCGGGATACATTCTCTGCCACGGACGGAAAAAATCGCCCCAAATCCAGCCGAGCGGCGGTTTGGCGGCTCTCTCCAGTGCTCCCTGCGTGTGTCCCATCTGATTGTGTCCCTTCTTCAACTGCCTTCCCGCCGTCCGAGCTCCAATATTGTCTCGTGCGTCCTGAATCCGAACGCGTGACGCTTTTTCGACGATTTGAAGCGCACGCTCCTTGGCACTTCGCAGTGCTTGGGACATCTGAAATTTTGCGATGAGCAATTTAGGGTGGGGAGCGGGGAATTTCGAGATTTTCAGGTAAAAAATGGTTTAAAAGCCACAAAAACAAACATTGAAAAGTCACAAAAATGCTTCTTATTTTTAAACATGGCAAAATGATAATAAAGATGATACACGACCAAAGACGGTTAGACGGGGCACAATTTATATACAGGAAGATAAGTATGATACCAGTTGAAGAGAATGGTGGGAAGAAAACAAACAAAAAAAAATATATTTTCTTTGGAACTCGAGGAATGATGGGTGAGAAACAATAACTGGGGATATTTTTAAATAAAACATATCACAAATTATGCTATGGCAAAATTCGAAAATTTTTCAAAAAAACACTAGATTCTTAAGGATCAGGATCACTCGAAAACTTGATAGGCGAGTGTGGAAATACGTTGGCGACGTGTCACGACGAACACTCCGACGGCTCCAATGGATACTCCGCTGAGGATACAGAAAATGGCAAGAACGAACATCGCGCCGCCTGTATATCCAAGGAATCCAGTGTCGGTGTCCGGTGGGAAAGATTTCATCGCAGAAGCGTCGGCGATCCATTCCTGGAAGAAAAAATTGATTTATCGTAAGACTTGTAATAGAAGGGCCCCCTAATTTTCACCTTTGAGCCAATTTATCTCGATTCCTGATAAATATATAAAAAATTGATCAACTGATAAACTGTTTATCATGACATTCAATGCCTTTTATCAGTTGACACATGTTTGATATCTCTTATGGGAGCTAAGATAATTGAGCTCACACTCGACAGTGTGGGGGGCCCTTCTATTACAGGTTTTACGGTAAATTGAAGAAGGAAAGTCATTTTTTGCTTTCAACGACGTTTTTAGGGGATTCTGAATCTTTTAGCAATAATGATAATAGGGAAACACCGCAAAACCTGTATTAGAAGGGCCTTTTTAATAGAAGGGCCCTCCGAGAAAGGCTTGGAAAAATAAAAGGGCCCCCGTAATAGAAGGGCTCTTTGTGAACAGGACCCCCTTCAAAATTTGATAGAAATTTGTTGAAACTCTATTTTTCGATGAAAATCTTGTTAAATTTCGGTGAAATTGGCAGATTTTCTTGAATTTTGAACGCTTCGTCGAATTTTTCGATGCAAAATTTCGGAAAAAAACTGGCCGGAAGAATAGAAGGGCCCCTCTAATTGAAGAGCCCCTGTAATAGAAGGGCCGGCCCTTCTAATACAGGTTTTGCGGTAGTTTAAAAAGAAACGAACCTCCTTCTGTCCTCCAACTTCCACCACAATCGGCATTTTCTCCGAGAACAACGAGGCGTTCATTTTACTGAACAACTCGGCTGTCGTTAGTTCGGCAGTGTAGTTGTATCCCACATCTGATGGCTGCACAGTAGTCTTCTCAGCTAAACGAAGCAGCATTGAGAGGCCACCATCACCATTCTCCACGTAGAATACGATCACTCGGTAAGGGATGACTGCGTAGACGTTCTTTGAGATGGTCTCGGCGACGGCCTTGTTCAGATTGCTCAGTCCTACGCTCTGCAAGTTGGTGATGTTCTCTGGAAAAATGTTTATTTTTAGAACATTTTTTGTATTGCACGATACTGTCAACTTTGAGTCAATTTATCTCGGTTTCTGTGAAGGATATCGAAAACCTGTCAACTGACAAAACACTTCTGATATTATGATAAACAATTTGTTAGTTGACAACTGCTTCGTACCTTTCACAGAAAATGATTAAAAAGTTCAAAGTTATGGGGCCCTTCTATTACAAGTTTTACGGTAGAATCCGATTTTCAAAAAAAAACCCTCTAAAACTCACTATCTTTAATGGGCACGACCCAGGTGTTATTTGCGAAACTTCCATTATCGTAGCATCCAGCCATTTGTACCATAGCGAGATTCAACTTGGAAGTTCCAACTTCCACACGAGTCACAATCAGAGACTGCTCGATTTTTCTGGTTTTCGCGTCGAATCGATTCATCGAATGAACCTCTCCGTCATTGGTGAGATGGAGCTCAACGATTTTCCCAGTTCCAGCACTATCCAACGCTCTGAATGCCTTGAAAGTGTTTCCAGCGAGATCTACGGAATCTTGATACGAAGACCATCTCAATTTGGGATCCACCAGGATATCCTCCATTCTTTGCATGGTGAGTTGCTTCTTGTTGTTGACAATGACATCATTTGTGGTCTCTGGAGCTGGTCCGAAGGTGTCACAAGCCCCATTCTTCATTGTGAACTCGTAACCGTAATTGTAGTCGTGTAGGATATAATCCACTCCTTGAGAATAGTTGGAAGACTTCAGGAGGTTTCGGAAAGAGGCTCCAGCAACAGCGAATACCTTGTTTTGTTTCGAATAGAAGACATCTACGACTTCGGAAGTCTTATTGACATAGTTGTAATAGCTAAGCACAGCTGCATACTCATCCATTGGCTTTAGTTTCAGCTCTGTTTCGTTTCTATTCGCACAGAAGACTCCATGAGCAAGCTGAGCATTATCCTCAACTCCATCTGGAATATCATATCGATCGAATTCAATTGAAATGTGATTGTCTGGCATGGTAGTGTTGAAATCCTTGAGTTCTGCGAGACGAATCGAGAGAAGGATCGGATTGGAGAACTGCTTGAGAGCCGGAGCAATCGAGTCATCGCCAGCGTATCTGAGCTCAACGAGTACTTTTGTATCGTTAGCACTCGTTCCGTTCACACATGACACCCATTTCATTGTGTTCACTCCTCCAACAACGTCGAAATTGTTCTTAACGGCGTATCCAGTGTTACTTCTGATGAAGTTCAGGACGCCGTCGACAATACTGGCAATGGATGAGGTGTTGTTGCCAATGATACTATCAAAACGTGGCACTTTTAGGATCTCTGGAGGAGCTGCTTTGTCGTCACAGTCGCCGTCTGGAAACCAATTTGCTCAGAAGGTTGGATTATTTTTATTCCGAACTCACTATTGGTGATAAGCTCGAAATGCTTGTCTCCTGTCAATGACTGAATCCATTTTTGACTAGAATCGTCTTTCTTGATTTCTATGACTCGGAACTCTTTCGTAGCGGTTTCCTTCAGAAGCGTCGTCTTTCCCTCCTTCCAATTGGTAACTGAGCCGGAGATCTGGAAAGTTTCGGCTGATTTTTGTGTTTTTCATAGAGAAAATCATACTTTATATGCTTCTGGAAGTGTCATCTTATCACTGAGCTTCTTCTGCTCGGCCGGTGGATTTGTGCACATGTCGAGGAGCGGGGCAAAGTCCACAGCGGTGGACAGCCCGATCAGAAGGGCCAGTACAAGTGGGGCTTTCATAGCCTGAAAATTGGGAACTGAAATCGGGAATTGAGGAAGACGATTAGGTTTTGAAAAAAAAAAAGAGAAAATGGATGGTATAAATATGTCGAAATAAATAGCAACAAAAACATTAGGAATACAGCTGTGAGTCATCGGATATCTTCTGCATCATGTTTTTTCGAAAAGAATTTTAAAAAACTCAATCTTAAAAATGACATAATTCGAATTCGCCACTTTCCAAGCCTTCAAAGTTCGTTTTGTCAAGGATAAGACAGAATTTTCAAAATCCCGAGAAATCCAGCGAAACTTGATGGTTTTCAACAAAATCTTTACTTTTTCAGACTAACTTTTATCAAGAAAAACGAAAAAACAACCCAAAAATCGAATCGAACATGTTTTCGCACTCGAAAATGGCTTAATCCTCGTAAAACGCCGGAATAGCGCCGAAAAAAAAATCGTGACTGCTGTTTGGCGTTGGAGCGCGTTTGCATTCACATCGATTTGGGCTCGAGACCACGCAAATTCCGGAGAAAAAAATTTTTATTTTCGAGGATTTCTACATTTTTCGTTGTTATTAGGCTTGATTTTTGCAAAATAGGCAAGATATTACACAATTTCTTGTTGTTTCGAACGTTTTTTCAACGAAAAAACCATTTTGAAAACCTCTTTCGTGAATTCTCAAAAAAAAGTGTTTACAGAAGTAAAAGATGACTGCGAAGCGAGTTCCGTCGAAAATTGTGATTGCTGGAAACTCGAAGATGTCGCTTAATGACAGGTAATTTTTCAAAAATCGATTTTTATCTTTTTTTCATTTTTTTTCAACCAATAAAACACTCTTTTTACAAGAGTTTTCCAGATTCTCATCGATACCAAAACCACGCCCACGTGGTGCGCTTCTGAAGGCTCAGCACAAAGGTCCAGTCAAAGTTCGCAATCCATATTCATCGAATCAGCAGGTTGTCTACGTGGATTCTCAGCAAAACGCGTTCCAGCCACATCCAGTCGTTCGTCGTCCCCGACCATCGTTCCAGCACCAACGGGCGGTTCCGTTTCGTATGTTAACCTTTTTGTTTTATTTATAAGAATTTCGAATTTTCCAGAAAGCCGTGTCAGTTTTGTGAGCACTGTCCCGGTGCAGCGATTCCATCATCAACGCAACAACTTCGTTCAGAAGGGTCAACAATTCTCCGGTGGCTTCAAGAAACCGTATAGGTATGGTTTTTTTTCAAATTCTTAACATTCGAAAACCCAAAAAAATTCCAGACAAAACTTCAACCAGCAGAATCAGCACCGTCCGAAATTCTTCCAGGCGCGCTTCAACCAGAACCCCCGATTCCAGAATCAACAGCAACGCGCAACGTTCCCCAAAAAGAAGTCGTTGGCAGAGTTGGATCGAGAGCTCGACGACTACATGAGAAAACCAAAGCACACGCCGATCACGATCTAATATATTTTTCCCCTTTGCTTGGTCTATAAGCATCTATATTTTTTCTATATTTTGTAAAGCTCCCCTTCTCCCCAAACGCATCTCTATATGACCCAAATTTTCGGGATTAAAACAAGTCTTTAATTTAAATATCTAACAAATTAAAATCAACAAGAACTAAGAAATTATGCCTAGATACAAACTAGAAACAAAAAATAATTCAATTATTCTTCAGATCCCTTTTCCTTGTCCTCTCCCTTCTCCACCGGACTCCTTGGCTTCTGGGACGAGTCGTTCGTTCCGAACGACTCGATTGCCACGTCGCACACTTTCACCTGCTCCTCCCACATCCATTGCACATCCTTCGGCATTTTCTTCGTCTTCTCCACCACGCCATTCCTCAACTCTTTCAGCATGATCTCTAACTTCTCATCGATTTTCTGATCCACTTCCTCATCGATGGGGTCGTGTGAATAGATTATCTTCTTCCATCGTCCGTTCGCCATTTGCCAGTGCTCTAGAAGCATCACACGGACGTTTGTACGCAGCGACCAGCTGGGCCCTTCATCAGTTGCGTAGAGGTGACTGGGTAGGCCGACTTCTTCGAGAACCATCTCGTGTTCACGAGTCACTGCGATACCAGCAATTTTGGCTAGGGTCAGGAGGACTTCTAGAAGGAAAATTGAGGCGAAAAACTGGATTTCCTGTGGGTTACGTGAAAATCCACGTCATAATATTTACAAATTTTTTCTAATTCTATAAAATTCATTGTCAAAATTATGACGTGGAAAATATTTCACGTGGAATTCAAAAATTCATTTTTCACGTTTTCACGTGAATTTTTAAAAATCTCACCTTGTGGAATCAGAACCTTGGCACCCAAATTGTTGGGCAACGTGAATCCGTACTCCACCAGAAGCCGTGCATTGTCATGTGCTCCATAGCACACAAAAACCTGCTCTCCCTCCATAATCTGCCGTTTCGCCTGCACAACATACCGCCCGTTTCGCTTCTCGTGAATCGCCACACCCTGATACTTTTGTGGATCATGATTCAACATGTCCACGTAGGGAATCACTGCAATCGTATCGCCATCCGAGTTGTCAACGTTGTCGTGCTCCTCGTTTTCCACAAAAATGCAACGTGTGTTCACCACATGCCACGCCCACAGTATCTTGTCGTGTGTGAGCTCGGGGAATAGGCGACGGAGCTGAAAAACTATTTTTTTGCGAACTTCATAGTGATCCCCTACTTTTTCTGAAATCTCCGAAATTTCTTTCTTCTGATCTACCCAAAACTTTCGTATCGATAATGGAAGTGTGTTCACATCATAATCGATTCCTTTGAAAGCGGGCGTATCGAATTCCTTGGGCAACACTTTCAGATATGGGCTCCAAGCTGATGTTTCAAAGTCCTCGAAACAGAAGAACATTGTCAGAATTTCCATTGGTTTCAGCTTCTCGGTGAACTTGGCCATCTTTTTACGATAGAATGGGAGGTCTACAACGAGTGCCGAGTTGATCATATCGTACTCTGGAAGGGTGATAATCGGACGTCCGGCACGGAATGTAGTCGTCGAGTAGATTCCATTTCCACAGTTTCCAGGTGGACATGTGATTTCAAGACCGTCGAATTTGTAGCCGCGCGCTTTGCACCAACCGATGAACTCGTTCATTTTCTAGGTTGGCTGAAAATATGGATTTTTCAACTTTCTGAAAAATTATTTCCACGTGAAAAGTCAGAAGAAATAAAAAAATTTTTTTTACGTAAAAAATAGGAAAATTATTTTTTTTTGAGTAAAAATTTAGAAATTTTTTTACGTGAAAATTCAGAAGAATTCGTTTCATTCGGAAAAAATTATTTTCATGTAAAAAATTCACAAATTATTTTTTCACGTGAAAATTCTGAAAAAATTTTTACGTGAAAATTCAGAAATTCATTTTTCACGTGAAAATTCAGAAAAATTCGTTTAAAGGTGGTGTGCGGTGAAAAATTTTATTGCTTTTCTTTGTGCAGAATTCCATGTAGATCCCCATAAAAACAACGAAAAAATTCAAAAAAATTCCTTCATTGAGAAAAACGGTATCGAAAAGTCAAAGTGGGAACCGTTGGCCTAGCAGTCAGGTGTGAGTTTTCTAGGCCAACTTCCGGTAAAAGCGCGCGGAATTCGAATTTTTAT